TCCGGTGAACAGGAGATGTCCCAAGCCACTGTCAGTTCCACTGGCACTCCCTGTCCTCGTCAACAGCTGTGTAGATGCCCAGCCCACCGCTACAAATCCCCATTTCCTACTGCTGTCTTCCACATCCTGCATCACTCTGAGGGGAAAAAAATCCATTCTGGTCACAGACCAACACCATGATCTCACCAAGGTGCCAAACAGCTTCTGCCAGGAAAAGCCTGTGGGCTTGCTTAAGGTGGGCAGGGATCATTTTAGGAGATTACACTGCAAAGAAGGAGTCAAAATTTCACAGGTGTCTAACAGGAGAAGGTAAAGGAAATGAAAGTTACAACTGCAATAAAGGTATCATGGGTATAGGAGGGTTGATAAGATAAGGTGAGTTCTTTTATGGTTTATTTCCTGGCCTTGATCACTTGATACAGATCAAGATTACAACAGAGTAAATGGCTCTGTCATTTGGTGAGGTTGGTGTCAGGGAATTTTGGTTGCTACTCCTCAGGTCTTTCTCCCTCACCTCTTTCTTTTGTAATCTGATGCAAATACAGCATTATAAAAACATAAAAGATAGTCCAATTAGGACAGTTTAATTCAAAGCAAGGTGTATTGAAGTGCTTCCATAAAAGATCTTTGCAGAACTTGCACCATTTTAATCGAGATCAAACAACCACTTAGAAAGGACAGTTCTATCTCTTTAAACATTTCAGAATATATTTCATAGACAGCATTGCCTGATAAATTAATTATTAAAGATTTTACATTATCTACATCGGCAAGTTCATTAGGACCACTTCAAAGCTTCCCAGAGACCCAAAATGCCCAGGAAACAAGCATCAAACATTTTGGCTTAACCGGAAAGCTCACTTTGCTTTCTCTTATTTAACTTACTAGTCATGTATTATTCAAATGAAATAAATAGTGCTGCCTCCTGTGCTTATCTGGGCAAAGCCTTTAGCAGCAATTCACTGGCTCATTCAGTCTGGGTATCCATCAGCTGTGGGCCATATCTCAGCACCAGCCTGCCATGCAATCCAGACTCCCTCAGGGCTCATCCATGGGCCTAACACTGGTCCTGCTGGCTCAGGCCACCAGTGGTACTGGGATGCTCGCAGTGTTTAGACCCAGCTCTCTGCAGACAGACAGGACAGCAGCCCACATGGCACAGTCACGGTTCCACCTGTAAAATGGCTGTTTACTGCAGAGGACTTGTCACAAGCACAGTCAGAAGGTGTCTGCAAAATGCTTTTTGATCTGACTACATCTTTTCTTATGAGATCATTACTCTCCTGGAATGAGGTTCCTATGCAGAATACCTGTCAGTTTGTCATTATTAATTCTACTAGGAAGGAAAGCAAATTAGTCTAAATTTTAGTGCTCAATGAGTCAGAACCAGTTAGAAGTCACCTCTGGGTACAAAAGCCTTCACAATGTGGCTCTGCAATACCAGGCGCTCAGTAGCAACTAAGAAGCTCTTGCAGACATCAATATTTTCCCTTCTGTTTTCTGCTTCCTTTAGCACATTTTTAGGAGACAGGAATGCAGACTTTTTTTACCTTTATTAAATAAAGATCTTGATCAGGAAGACAGAATGGGGACACATTTTGGTCACCACACAATGGAGTAAGGTGTTTTTGAGTGGTGGCTTAATTCATTTTAAATTACAAAGAGACATCAATATCACATTGATAGTCTGTCCACAGTGATGCTTGTTATTTCTGCCCTGAGCTGGGTCCAAAGTAGCGAAAGTTAATCAAATTCAATGTTCCTGTTTTGCTCTCCTCTCATGCTGGGATTGTAGGGTAACTAAAGGAGGCAGGACAGAGCTGCTCTCATGCTGTAGTTCTCCTTGGACTGGCTGCAGGCAGGCAGAATGATATCTCCAGACCTGGAGGAATTGAGGCAAGTTCTGAGAAGATGCTGAGCTTTCCCCTGCCCTGTCCTCCCTCTGGTACTCTGGGCTCTGCCAGCAGCTTGATTATTTCATGCTGTGCACACTCCCCAGGTCACACTCCCACACAGGAGAAGTATTTTCTTTCCTCCCTGTATTTGATTGCCACTGCTCCCACGGTCCGTTAGCTAGCTCAAACTGATATAATAATGATTCGCCGGCAAAAAGCAATCAAACAATTTCACTGGCACAGGCATTAAGACTACCTTGTGTTTAGCTACTGTCCTAAATTCAACCAAACTGAAAGCATTGCAGATCAGGAAGGGAAGAGGCAAGACACCCTTAGCTCTGCCCCTGGGAATCAAGCATGAAGAACAATGCCAAGGGGGACAATGCCAACAGGAGACCAGAGTCTTCTGTTCTCTTGGGTACAACATGCACAAGCTAAAAAGAACAGGAGAGGAAAAGGCATCCCCACTTGGAGAGCTGGAAAGGCATGTGACAAACATTTGAAGTGTTTCAGACTGATCCTTCCCCCTTCCCTGGGCTGGTTCAGTTCTGGCAGGTGCAGGTCTCCACAACCCTCTATTAAGAGCCACAACTAAATGCAAAATCTAACCCCAAATTATTATTATTATTGTGAGTCAGAGGAGGCTGAAAGGACCATTTCACAACCCTGATTGGATTCAGCTGCAGAGTTCACCATTGGCAAATTATCTCTGTGATCATCGTGACAATGTTGCAGGGCTTTTAAAATGTCCTAACACGTGCTTTAGTATAAGCATCGCTGGATTCTGGCTAGTTTCCAAGAAATGAATCTCCTCAGCAAATATTCTGCAGGGTGAGCATAATGTGGTCTGTAACACAAATGAAAAACACGGCTGTAGTTTACCCTGAGGGGGACACTGATGTGATGATCTAAATGGGCCTTTCCGGGCCAGATTGCCAGGATTGCAGGAATCCCTTGTGGGCAAGACTGGAATATAGGGTGAGAATAATCGGGAAACAGCAATTAGCTTCACCCAAGGAGGTTAACAAGGAAAGAAAATTTCCTGCTATATCAGTTGTGGTCACCAGCCTCCCTCTCCCCTCTCTGCCGTCCCTCCTCAGGGACAGTCTGCAACCCCAGCCCCATCTAATGACTCTTCCCAATGCTGGGATGCTCGTTGCAGGACAGACCTTTTATTCTCTTCTGTTGGATTACAAGTTTTGCTGTGCTGTGTTATGCTCTAAATTTTATTGGAGATCTATGAGACAGAGATCTGCAAAGTGGAGAGAGCCATAGTTGCTCGCCGGGACTGGCTGCAGGGGAGCTTGAATTGGTGAGCCTGGAGAATGGTCAGAGAGAAAAAGGAGTCAGATCCTTTCCAGATGTGCACAGCAAAAGGTCAAGGGGCAAGATGCAATGAGGAAAATCTGTTTGGATATCAGGAACAACCTTTTTTTGCTCTATGGTGGTCAGTGCTAGCATGAGGTGCCGAGGGAGGCTGTGCTTATCTGTTCTTGGACATACTCAAAACCCAGCAGGACCTGCTCTAGCTTTGAAGATGGCCTTGCTTTTAGGAGGAGGGTTGGACTAGAGACATCCAAAAGCCTCTTTCCCCTGAATTATTCTACATTTATCTCATCCTGGTTTTGCTTCATGCTTCTCCTGGAAATACGTGAATAGTTGGGGAGACCCAGCCTGGCTCATGTTTGCTCACTAGATGCAGCAGCAAATGTTTGGCCGTCTGTGGGTAAAGCTCTGCAGGCTACAGCATTGGTGTGGACTGAGGGAGAGGAGGAGGAAGGGCAGAGTAGCTCCTGGCTGCACTTTTTCTCCTAGAAAAATGCAAACAGACTGAGGCCCAGGAACTGTGTTCATGAGCTGGCCATGTACCCACACAGGCTTTCCCTACCAGTGGGATGTTGAGTGTAGCCCCCAGCCTGTGCATCTTCAAGGGCCCAGTACTGGGCCCATGCAGCCAATTGAGCACCTTCCTTTCTACTGAGGCCCCAGGATTTATGAGAGGCCCTGAACTAAGATGGGTCCCACTGAGCAGATTTTCCTCCTCTATTCACCCTTTGCAGAGTCACAGTTAACTGGGGTGCAGTGCCGAACCCCATGGGAAAGGGGCGGATGCAGCACTATCACAATGCTGAGGCCAGAGGGTCCCCAGGGTACACACTGCTGCAAGCAAACCCCTCTTGCCTGGACACAGTTACAAAGCACTTTTTTTATTTTGTTGTAGCCTTTCTTGGTGCTGATCTTCTGGTGTCTCCATTTCTGTAACAGCCTCGTGTTTCTGTCAGTAGGGTTTACTTCAGCCCACCTGTAAAAAACTGCCGGGGCAGAGCAGGGTGGTGGAAGGTATTTTCATTAGGCAGCACACATGGCAAACGGCCAGATTTTCATAGAATCATAGAATGGTTTGGGTTGGAAGGGACCTTAAAGATCATCTAGTCTCAACCATGGGCAGGGACACTTTCCACTAGATCGGGTTGCTCGAAGCCCCATCCAGCCTGGCTTTCAACATTTCCAGGGACGTGGCATCCACAGCTGCTCCGGGCAACCCATCCAGTGCCTCACCACCCCCACGGCACTGAATTTCTTCCTAATACCTAATCTCAACCTGTCCATCAGTTTGGTGCTGGGGTGGCAAGTCTGTGAGCCCCCAGCCCCTTCTTCTCCACCCGCCTCGGGCAGCTCCCAAATCCCAGCGGCCCGAGGCCTGCGGGGCGTGGAGGGCGCGGGGCCGGGTGCGCTCGCTGAGCGGCCACAGACACTCGCACCCCCCAAAGACGTATTTTTGGAAGTTCAAGAGCGAGGAGGGTCGCGGAGGTGAGAGGTGTGGGACAGGGCCTCCGCTCCGGTCCCTCCCCGGGGAGGGGTTCGGCGGGGCTGCAGTGCACTGGGGCTGCCCCGGCCCCCGCGGGCTCAGTCGGGCGGCCACGCCGGGCAGCGCGGCTGCGGCGGCACCGGTGCGCGGTGCCCATCCCGATCCCGGTCCCGATCCTGATCCCGATCCTGATCCCGATTCCGACCCCGGCCCCCCTCCCGGTCCCAGTCCCCATCCCCGTCCCCGTCCCCGTCCCCGTCCCGATCCCGGTCCCGCCCCGTGACGCCAGCCGTGATGCCACAGGGGGAGGCCCGGCCGGCCCACGTGGCGCTGACGCGGCGGAGGCGGGCGGGCCGGCGGCAGGTGAGGAGCGGCGGGCGGGGGCGGCCCCGGGCGGGAGCCCCGGGCTGGTGGCACGGAGCGGTTCGTGTGGCCGGGGCCCGGCCGCGGGGGTCAGCACGGCCTGGGCACAGCTTGCCCCTCCGGCCGGTCCCTGGCCGGGTGTCCAGGCCCAGGCCCTGTCACGGCATCCAGCACTGACAGCCAGGCCCAGGCGGGGTGTCCGGGTCCAGCGGCCCTGTCACTCCTGAGTGGGGCTGGGGGAGGCTTTTGGCTCATGGGGCAGGAGCATCTCTCTGAGCAGAGACTGCAGGAGCTGGGCCTGTTCAGTCTAGAGAAGACTGAGAGGGGAGCTCATTAATGCATATAAATATCTCGAAGGTGGGTACCAAAAGGATGGTGCCAGACTCTTTTTGGTGGTGCCCAGCGACAAGACAAGACGTAATGGCCATAAACTAAAACACAAGAAGTTCCACCTCAACACGGGGAAGAACTTCTTTATGTTGAGGGTGGCAGAGCACTGGGACAGGCTGCCCAGGGAGGGTGTGGAGTCTTCTTCTTTGGAGTCATTCCTGAACTCTGGACATGTTCCTGTGTCACGTGCTCTAGGTGACCCTGCCTTGGCACGGGGTTGAACTAGATCATCTCTAGAGGTCCCTTCCAACCCTGACAATTCTGTAATTCTGTTTGGTGAGTGTGCAGGCAGATACGAGGGAGGGACGAGCAATGGGGCTTGTGCCTCCATATGTAGCTGTGAGTGCTTGGGCTGCCCTGCGTGCAGCCAGCCCAGGCCAGAGAGGCCTGGCTTTGGGGTGTTGCTGCTGAATCCTCACTATGCAAGCTTACGTGCTTATTTTGAACAAGGCTATACATAAAAGAGAAAGCGAAGAGGAAATTGTCACAGGATGAGCATATATGAAGAAAATGGGGCATAAACGCTCAGAGTGATCTGACACAGGCATAAGCAGACCCAGCTGTAGCCAGACCTCCTGGCCTTGCCTCCTGTCCCTACCATGGCACTGACACACACCTTGACAAATTGGGCCTGGTATCCCCAGCCCTCGCTGGCAGCCCATCGCTGTCCATGCATGTGGGAAGCAGGAGGGGGTGTCTGGTTCCTCTGGCAGCATTTTCATGATTTCAGCTCTTTGCCCTGTGTGTCTGATGGAGTTGCTGCCCAGGCAGGATCTGCTCTGAGCTCTTGCAGAACTGCCTCCTGCAGTCTGAGTGAGTTGTAGATAATATATGTCTAGACAGTGACAGATTTTGGGATCCAGCTCTGACTGTCGTCATGCAGTGGTACTTTGCATGTTACTCCTGCTCTGCCTTGGTTTCCCCATGGGAAATGGGGAACAAATTGGCATAAACCAGCACACACTTTCAAGATCTAATCATAAGTCTTGACAAGCAAATGCCTGGCCCTTGACGTTCCCTGTTGCCTCATGGTTCACCCTCGGTGCATCTCTAATCATGCCAGTAGAACGTAGTGTTAATGCATTTTCAGCTCATTGCTGGGGGATGAGAATGTTTTATTGGGGGGCAAAGTTTGTTAGCCATTTCAGTTTTGCCCTTTGCTTTCTCAGGTACAGTGGAGCTTATGAAGGCCGAGCAAAGAGCTGGATGGTATTTTGTGTGAGCAGAGTTGAGCGGCGTCCAGACGTGGGGAACTACAGAGACAGGTAATAAGGGAGCCTGATACCTTTGAAAAAGTTAGGACACGGAAGGGGACTGGTCCTTGAACTGTTAAATCCTCTACCTTAATTCCAGCCGTGTTTGATTTTGATCACTGGCATGAGTAAATAATGATTGAGAAGCTGTTTTAACTTTACAGAGGCTTATAATTATGGCCAAGGAAGGAGAAGTCACCTGTTAAAAGTTATATGAGGACCAGAATAAAGGGCTACCAAAGATCTGTGAGAAAATAGCTTCTCTTTCTCTGAAGACAATTTTTATTGTAAAGTTTGTGGAGGATTTTTTGAAAGGGATTTCTTGTACTGTGGGCATTATCTAAAATAAATGTCCTTCTCAATATGAGTTTCGTTGCTAATTTAGCTTAGTTTTGTTTTTAATATTGTAAGCAAATCTTTCAACAGGGAGAGTACTTTTTAAATGATTTTTTTTGTCCTTGAGAGAATCTCTTGCTTGCTAAGAAAACCATGGCTTGTCAGCAAGGAGCTTTATTAAAAGGCAAAGCCTCGTCATGCCTTGCCTGTTTATATGAGACTTTTAGATTCCTAGAGACAAAGCACAGGCCAAGAATGGAAGCTGTGTCCTTATGAGTTTGTAGAAAGAGATTCTTTTCTGCTGGCTAGTCGCTATGTTGTTGCTCTCTCTCCTTTGTATTTTACTCTATCAGAACATAAATCAGCAGTAACATTATAGAATGTTACAGCAGCTCATTGCAGAGGACAGACAGAAACAATCACAGTATTATAAAGTTCAGTGTAGCTTGCAAACACTCTATAAAAATATGAAAATTGTCCTGGAAATAAATCTGAGGTGTAATCTAATCCCAGTGAAGGGACAAGATAATACCAATTTGAGGATTCAGTGCCTTTTGACCTTAATTTGCTTCATGTGGTCTGGGTTTTGAAACACAGTGTACCTGTGTGGGCAAAGTCAGTCACACACAAGTCTTGTGTGCTCTAAACTTCCTGTGATGAGACGTGAATGGTGGGCTTGGATTGAGATTTTTATACCTGAATGGGTCAGATCTTGGTTCAGTTCTTGACTTGGTCACAGCTCTGCTGTGTGATCTTGGTCAAATCATGTCTTCTTATGGCTTGTGAAGGGGAGGCAGCTTTTCTACTTTCCCAGTTTGATGGCAAATGTCACAGGGCAAGGATGTGCCTTACTGTGTTTTGGCATAAGACCATAATGTCACTTGGGACTCCTGGTAGTTAGGGAGGTGTAAATAGAGTAAGTGCCTGGATAAGCAAAAAATGTTTTAGACTTGCATGCTGTTTGCTTCTCCCATCATGATCTGTTTGTAGACATGGCTGTGAAATGAGCTGTGAAATTAACTGGTCAGAATAAAATACTGCGTAGTGTGGCATTCGAGCAGCACACAGCCTGCCCACCTTGCCCTGGAATGTGACAGTATTAAAGTTTTAAGATCCCAACACATTCTTAAAAATGTGAAAGAAGTGGGTAGAGTACTGGGAAGAGGCTCCCTTTGGGTACCCTTTGGAGATGTGAGTGAAGGAAAGATGGAAAGAATCTCTGAGGAAGTTCAGGTTACTTGATTTTCATAGACTTTCTGGCCAGGCATCCCCCACAGCTGCACATCCCCCCCACTGACATCCTGCAGTCAGTGAGTGCCTTCCCCTGCAGCTTTCTCTTGTGCCAGCACAGCAGCACGGCCTGGTGCGTCACTGTGCATGGTGCTCACAGCGGGCCCTGGCTGGAGACACTTTTTGGGTAGCAAATTGAGAGGCTGATGTTCACTGCAATGCCAAAGATGCATCCATTGCAAAACCACAGCCAAGGAGTGTGATTGGCCTGTGCCCTTGTTTTCCCCTGTGATCTTCCATCCAGGCTGTACCTCACCCCTGCCTGACACCAGCTGAGATCTGCAGAGCATTTGCCAAAGGTCTTTAGAGGAGGTTCCCATAAGTTGTCCTCTGGCAGTCCCTTGTGAGAGCTCAGCGGGCTGTTCCTCCTGTTATAGTTGTGTTCTTCTAGATGAACTAGCACACAGCCCAGAGGTGAATGTGGCCAGTTAATGCATCCCTCTGTGTCCTTGGGAGCAGATATCTTTTGTCTGAGTTAATCCACTCACCAGTCCACTATGAAACTCTGGGCTATAGTGAAACTTCTAAAAATTGCATTTGTAGTTGGTCCCTTCCTGAGTTCCTGATGTCATGTCTTGCTCTCCTAGCAGCCTGAGCATATAAGCCACAGCATCTCTGACCTCAGAGTGAAAAGATTGGAAGTTTCTCTCAGTGCATGTCACAGGTGGAGCTACTTCTGATCTGTGGATACTTGGAACCATCCACATCGCATGCCAAGCCCTTTCCTGGCTGTCATAGGGAATGTATGAGGTGCTGTGGTTCCTGGTCCAGTCCACATGCAAGAAGGGTTGGCCAGTGTGTTAAGCTCATGTGTATCACCACAGGGCATGCCATCCTTCACCAGGTGGGAAAAACCCTTTACAGGGCCGACCAGCTGTGATTCTCTGGCCTTAACCTGACCCCTCATTCTTAAGGAAAATGAGTGACAAGACAGACAAAATTCTGATCTGAGAGGGATGATATTGGCACAGCTGTCCTCAAGGGGAGTTTCCAGTGGTGATGGCTCCTTGCCTGTGCATGTGAGTGACTTGGAATGGTTGGATAAACTGAGGTTTTGTGCTTTGTTTTAGTTGTAGGTAGGAAGATGAGTCCGAAAATTACAACAGAGCTGCTGAAGCAACTGCGGCAGGTGATGAAGAATCCCAAGTATGTCCAGGAGCCTATCCAAGCCTACATAGTGCCCTCTGGAGATGCCCACCAGGTATGGATGGATGGATTGGTTGTGGGAACGATCGTGCTTTCCTTCCCTGCAAAAGGTAAAAGCCAGAGATAACTGAAATCATCCTTCGTTCACTTGCTTTAATGGTTACAGCATAAAAGTCTTTGTAACCTGAGAAATACTGTGTTGAAAAATGTTTCTGGGGTCAATTCAGGAGACTGAGGTTTTTATGTTCTTGTAAGAAATCGGAGTGGACAGTCTACCAACAACTTCTCATCAGATTGTCTCCAGGGAACTCACACTGCAGAAAAGAGAGCTTGCCAGAGCACTTACTGTGCCCATCTTGGCTGTTGGGAAGAATGGATTTACTGGGTGAGGAACAAACATTTTCTAGGCTTTAGTTTCGCCATTAGCATCTCCTGATCCACACATACTGTTAAGTGAGGTGATGAAGGATTAGTTGCAGAGCTTTCCCTTTACTAGATCAAGTTCTTACTGGAATTTGCTGCCTTATGGTAAAGCCCTTCAGATCTCACATGGAGGAGCCTTTGGAGAGGCAGGGAAGGAGCAGACCACAATGATGCTTCCCTTTCCATGCTTCTCTGTATCATGTTCTATGCTCTTAAGATAGGAGGGAAGTCTGGGCCCAGGGTGGTAACCCACGGCAGTAACTGTGATGTGTGCTGCTTCCACTGTTAAGATTTTTGTAGTCTGTGACATAAATTTGAAATTGCTGAACTGCCTTTTACCTCCCCTGCTGGCTCATGCGCTCGTTTTACTCTTCTGTTCACTCTGTTAAGAGACCCAAGAACTGCTGAGGGTTTTTCCCACCTCAGCCATTTTCAGGAAACAAAAGACCTGAAGCTTTCCTGGCTCACACCCAAAGCTCCCTTTTTCCCCAGGGTGCACAAGAGCAAAATGCAACTGATTCGGAACCTTTGCCCTTGACTTGGCACTGGGGTGAGCCGGGTCCAGACTTGCCTGTGCCCTGGGACCATATGTGCAGCTTTGTATTTCCTCTTAGGGAGATCCAAACTTGGGCAGGTAGGGGGAAGGCGTTTTCTGCAGCTGCTATTGTCTGCTGCATTCCTGCCTCAAGCTGCCTCTGTCCATATATAACTCCGGTTTCATTTCACTAGACATTAAATGCTGTCATGTGAGTTGAAGAATGTGACCCTCAGGACTTCTGGGTTTCTCTGTTGCTTTCTTTTCCTTGACAGAGTGCAGTTAAGCAGAGAACCCCATGTTGCTATTTCCTGCCAGGCGAGTTGGTCAGGTTTCTCTGCAGAGCAAATCTATCTGAATGGAAACGATTACTGAACACTGCTGATCCTGGTGCCTCCTGACTAGCTGGTGCAGGATTTTTTTTCTGTGAGGTTTGGGAATTGGTGCAATTTTTGGCATTGACGGGAACCTGTTGATCCGAGAACAGCCTTACTGATACCAGGTACACTGAGATAACCTGAGATTTGTAGCTTCCCCATGTTCCAAGCAAGGGTTTGTTTGCTGTGTGCAAGCAAGAACTTTACAGCCCCACAGTCAGATTTTGGTCTTGGGCAGCTCCTTCCATGACTCAGAACATTGTTCTTGGGTATTTAATGATACCCAAGTGTTTGGTGGCCTAAACCATTTCCTCCCCACAGCCTAAGCAAGCTGTGTATTGCCGTCCTTGCCTCAGCTATTTCTGAGGCTGTCCTGGGATCCACATCACAGAACTTGTCAACAAAGAGGGCTTTCCCTCCTGTGGTGTTGCCACAGGGTTAGACTGGGGGAAGCTCTATTCCCTTCTGGGTAGCAAAGGAACCCTGGGATTGGACTGATGCTGATACACCCTGATGCTGCAACTTGCTGACTAATTTCTCCTTGTAATACTGGGATTGTTTGAGCTTTGAGTTCTGTCATGCTTTTAATACTGGTTTTCCTGCAAGGCTAGGAGGTTTAGATTATAATACTGCCAGGAGTCCTGCCACCGTTTGTATCCTTTGCTTTCCATGTTTAGTTGTGTAAGGAACTGAAAGACTTGCAGAGCTTCTCAAACGCAGCTGGCTCTGACTCTGGCTTAACCAAAGCCGCTAATACCTTGGATTTGTGGCTCTTGCAGTCAGCCCTGGATGTTGTCTGGCTGCTTTAATTTTTGCAAATTTTGATGCTGGTGATAAGAAGTCTGAAGAAACAGACTGTTTCCTCGGAGACCTGGGTGGTCCAGAGGCAGATGAGAAAGGAGAGCAGTCCCAGTCAAAAGTGGGATGAAGTCCGTGCAAAGAGTCCCACTTCCTTTCATGAATGCTAGGTGGATCTTGTGGCTGCAGGTATCCAAAGATGACAAAGGGGTGAAAAGCCATGTTTTTGGGAAAGAGGCATGTAAGTCCTTTGTGGTTTGGTTAAAAATGTCTATCAGAGCTTTTGGAGTGTTGCAGTGCTAAATGCAGGATCCATTTTTTATGTTGAGTCATGCAGTTTACATTGAATCTGGAGTTTGCCCATATGGAAATATTCAGAGATTGGAGGAGCTTCTTAATGGGAGGGAATGATGTTTGGATTAGAGCTTGGGTTTGGAGGCAGTTACAGCTTAACTGGGGCTGGCTTCTACCTCCAGGCCTTGACTCAAAACAAATTTAGTCATATCTGACTGGTCTTCCACATCAAGGAAGCACCTGCCCAGCTCAGGGCCCTGTGTTTGGGTTGGCAGAGGTGCTGTCTTCTGCTCAGGGCTGGCTCCTCTCACACACACTTGTGCTGAGCTGAGGAATCAGCAGGGCTATAAAGCAAGAGAGAGCTTGTGCACAGGTTGTACTGACCTGTTCCAGTTCTTACCAGTGCAGTTTGGTTTTTGGCAGTGAATACTGACCTCCCTCCAGGTACACGGCAGTGTTTGTTCTTTAATGACACCAGTGTTGTTAAAGCTAAGGGTAGTGAGCTGCACTTTTCATTGCTGATCTTTGTTGACATTCGGCTAGAATAAGCTTTAACATGTTAATGGCTTAACCTTGCAGGCTTTGGGGTTAAGCACCACTGATATTTGGGGTTCTTTCTGGCTTAGATGAGCATTTTTGTGATGTAGCCCCAAGTTTTGTCTGCTGGACTGACAGGTGTGGTGAAAAGCAGACGTAAAAGGCCTGAGGAGGGCCAGGTTGAAGGCCATCAGAGCTGCAAGACAAGCCCCAGGGAAATACCTTGTTCTGACTGTGCTGTGGTCTCTGCTTTGTTTGGCATACACAGGTGTTCCCCTGATAATTTTAGCTCGTGCAAAACATGGGTTCATCTTTGCACCGTGGGGGTTGCTGCTTGAAACAGAACAGGTGGGTGTGCAAGAATTCAGGCTGACAGATGAATGAACCATCTTTCCCTCCAGATCCCTTATACTCCCTTTTAAAGCCCATTTGCCTCATGCCCTGGATTTGGCTGTGGATGGGACAGCATGAGGTAATTTCAAACAGTCAAGGTCTTTGCTAATTTAGGTCAGCTTTTACCAGATCTAAAACAGATACACTTGTTTTTTTCTTTTTATATTTTTTTGAACTGTTTTCATCCATTTCACAGTTTTGTGTTGCTAACCTATCCTATGAATGTGAGATTCATGTCTGCACAAGCAAACTAGTCTGTAGTCTCTGCTGTGTCGGTCAAGAGAAATGGAAGAGAAATCACTGCTCTGTTTTGGAATGTACTTAGTGATATGTCGGGCTGAATAGTTGTTAGGAAATGTTGAAATGGGGAATCCTCATCGCTCTGCCTTCATGTTCTGTCCTGCTGCTGTGAAATGGGCAGCGGGGAAACAAACACTTGATTCTGTTCCCTGAATGACTTTGTCCTCTCTGTCTGCTGATGCCTTTGTTATTATTTTAAAGGGGGTTAGTGGTGAGAGCGTGCTGTGTGGGGCTGAGGCAGAGCTGCCCCATCAGCTAGAGTTGTGCCAAGGGCAGTTCTCTCTTCCCAAGGTGGGTATCCTGACCCCTCTCCTCTCCACAGCTGCTGAGCATATGTCACAGCCCAGTGGGGCTGGACAAGAAAAGGCATGGGAAACTAACTGGTCAGAGATGAGGGCATGCATGGTCTCCATACCCCCCCTCCTTTCTGCCAGCTTTCACTAGTGTTTGGATGAAATGGAGGATTTCTTTGGAGCATATCCCAGGAATCTTCTCTGGCAATTGAGAGCAAAAGCTGCTCAGCCAGATCCTCTTTTGGGCCATGAGATTTGCTGTTGCAAGGCTCCATTTCAAAATGATAGTGGTGAATGGTTGGTAGCTTCTGCCTGGGGCTTCTCCCAGGAGGGGAGAGACATGGCTGTTCTGGAGGGGGTTTGATCATGGCATGATTTGGAGCAGAAATAAAGAGCTGGTCTCAGGTGCTGTGATTTGTGCTTCCTCACTGCTGTGCTTTGAACCCTCTGCCTTCTTCAGAACAGTGAAGAGTAACAGATTTGAAGGGAGCATTTTCTAACAATCAGGTGATTCTATCACAGTAGGAACTAAAACTGCCTGAGAATTGGGCTGTAATTTCTTATCTCAGTCCATAAGATGTTTCTTTTGCCCCAGCACAGCTGGGTGCAGAGAAACTTTATGGGCTGAGAAACAGATTTGGGTTTCTAACCATTTGTAAGGTACAAATCCAGGGGTTTTGCAGCTCAAACATTGGTGCTGTCAGCCTGGATTAAGCTAATTTGCTGAGTTGCACTAGTTAATTAACAGGCCTACTCAGCAGTTCTGACCTCCAGACTTGCCAGAATGGGGTCCCATGAAAAAGGCTTGTAGGCCACATAAAGTTACAGTTGTTCTTTCAGTTTTGGCAGCTCCTGAGGGTATCAGATGTCTGTGCATTCTCAAGGTCTTCTACAATACTGCCAAGGGATGTGCCCACAATCACAGCTTGTGATAGGTTTGGGATGAGGATGGACTAGTAGCCTTTGATTCCCTCTCATCCATTAAACCATGTGCTGGCGTTTTTTGCTGTAGTCTGATTTTGAGTGGGCAAGGGAGGAGTGAGAGGATCAGCATCTATTTATGAAAGGTCCTAAGGATTAAATTTTTTACAGTTTTACCACTTTGATTATTTTCTTTCAATGTCATTGTTACGGAAAGGAATTCCTGTAAATGTGAGTGAGGGGACTTCGCTGGAGATAGTCGATTTTACAGATTTTATGCACTGATTGGTCTCCAAGATCAAGGAGTGCCTCTGGTTTCTCTTCCTTTTGCATTGCAGCTTCAAAGGCATCATTTGTTTGTTGCCCAAAGGGGAGGCTGAGTGTGAAATAAAGGTCTGCAAACTCTGAAGCACTTCAGTGTTTACAGATGTTTGTGGGAGAAAAGTGCTGCAGCTTAAAAAAACCACCAGTTGAACATAAATACAGTATAATCACAGATGATTAAATGTTCCAGTGGAGTAGAGCCTAGGATTTTTTAACTCATTTTGTTCTCCCTGCGGTGTCCTTTAGGAGAAAAAGCTTATCAAAGTATTTGTCATCAGCTGATCGGGTTTTTTTCCCCTGCTGCTATAAATAATTGCTGCCTCTTTTGTTTTCTAGAGCGAGTACATTGCACCCTGTGATTGCAGAAGGGCGTTCATCTCTGGATTTGATGGCTCTGCAGGTACCTTTCCAGAACTTGGGTTCTTGCATAATTCTCCTATAAAGAAATAGTTCCATTCATGGCATAGAGGCAGGATGGAAAAGGAAACCTATTCAGCTTGTTTGGACTGTTTATTCCCATTTCAGCATCTGTAGAATTATGTCTTGGCTACCCTCTGGAATTATGTAATATCAGCAGAATAACAAGTTTTCAGAAAATGTTTGACCCCTAAATGAACCTCTCTTAAAGTAAAATCCTGTTAACTCTTTAATGTGGTGCTTATAACCTGCGGTCATTTCTTTTGATGTGCAGCCAGTACGAACAGATTTTTATGTTGCCCATTTGGGCTGGGTGAATAGTAGATGGACTTTAGTTGGCCTTTCTGTTTAAATAGAGCCAGGGCCAGAAACACTGCATTTGGAAACCGAACACTGTGGAAAAGTTTGCTTATCTTGCCGAGACAGGATGTTTTCTTGGCTGTAGGATAGGTCTGTGTTTCAAGAGACCTAGTTTTTACCCTGGCTGTACCCTAAGCTCTGCAAATTACACTGCTTTGTGGTTGTTGGAAAGTCACTTTAGTCTACTGAAGTCTTTTTTCTTCTCTAATTGTAAATCAGTTTAATAAATACCAGTACCTATGTGTTTGGAGGGTCTGTTCATCAGTTCCTATGAGCTCTGGGATCTCATGTGGAAGGTGATAAATCCAGGGCTGTGGACTGCTGTTAATGGCTAACATGAATCCTGTATGAATTTCGTGCCTTCTGCATGACCTCTTCATAACCTTCCTCTATAATTTGTGCCCTTGCTATATACTTGGAAGGTCCATTTTCCCAACCTAATGCTCAGCAAATCAGTGAGGTTTCAGACAAGGGTTACCTTGTGTTTCTTGCTTCATCTTTTTAGGCTGAAGCAGCTGAAAATGTGGTTTGTGTTGGGGGAGTTTGGTAGAAGACAATGAATTCATACTTGGAAACTCTGTTCTGGTAATCTGGGCTTCAGTTTCTGGTGACAGAGAGTATGATCAAGATGCAGACTCAAAGGACTTGGATTCAGTTTCTGTTTGTGCCATGGTTTTTTTAGTATTGCCAAGAGCAAGGCAGCTCGAGTGCCTTGCTGAGATGTCACTGCCCCTCAGCTGTCTGCTTGCATCCCTCCATCTGGAGTCACTGGAATGGGACAGACTCTGGAACCAAGAGAAGTTTCTGTTCATGTTTCCTATTCGGCCATCTCTGCTAGAGCTGTAGCATTTGGGAAAGAGGTGCAGCTGACAGCTGGGAGTGATACTCATGTCTGCAGGCCTAGTATCAGCTGTTTCTTGTGGATGGCCAGAGCCCAGGCTTCCTCCCCAGAAGAAGATGGGATGGAGTTTAGGGATGCACAGTATGTGTTACTGTGACAACAGCCAAGTGGAGACCACAGTCTGTTACAGAAGGTTTGGAAGGCCCCATTTACTCAGTTCCACTGACTGGGTGAGGTTTGCTTAAGTCAAATTCATCTGAGGCAATTCATTAGGGTGCATCCTTGTACATACATACTGTCTCAGATAGGATTTGGAAAGTCATAGTTCAGAGGAAACAGTGAGTACTGAAATAGGACCAACTTTTGAACAGTGAGCAGAGGTGCCTTTTAGTGAATTAGAGTGCATTTCAGACACTGTCCCTGCTGTCTGTATCTCTGCACAGTGTCTGCACACTTCTGAATCACTACACCTTTCTACCTTCCTGCCTAGGTACTGCCATAGTCACTGAGCAGCACGCGGCCATGTGGACTGACGGGCGCTACTTCCTGCAGGCGGCACATCAGATGGATAACAACTGGACACTCATGAAAATGGGTATGCAGGAGGCTGGGATACTGCTCCACTGATAAACAGAGAACAGTCACAGGCTGTTCACAGGCTGTTCACTGTTTGGTCACTTCACACATGTACAGTTTGGGCTCTTGGGATATCCCATCGTGCACGGACTTAGGGACATCTTGGATACACCGCTCCTGCTTTAGTGTCCTGTGATGACTGTTGCTGATGGGTTTAGACATTCGTTACTAAATGCATTAGTTTGGACTTTTTGCATAGTGTGGGAACGTTTCAGTGTGACTGCTTCTTTGAACCTCTTTTTTTTTTTTAAATCCTCTAAGGTCTGAAAGATACACCAACTCAGGAGGATTGGCTAGTGAGTGTCCTCCCAGAATGTTCCAAGGTGGGAGTGGACCCTTTCATTATTCCAGCTGGTTGGTTTTACTTTATTTTATAATTCTGGGTTGGGCAACTATATTCTGGCTCCTTGCTTCTCTGTCTAGCTGTTGTATGATGGTGTGCAGCTAAACATGTTCCAGCCCAGATGGGATGGTGGGTTAAACTGTTACACAAAACAGATTGGATTTTGGTATAGGCATGTATCACGAGAGCTCCACAGCAATGGATTGAGTACAAAACACAAAGAGATGAGAACTGCTTTCTAGGCTTGCAGTGACCTTACCTGAAAAGCAGAATCCCGATCTACCTCCTTTTGTCTGTGCTTTGGCTTGTCATAGGCACTTCAGTACAAAGCTGCTGAATGCCTTGGCCAGCATGTGAGCAAGAACACCCTGGCAAAATCCACGCTGCTTCTCCTGCTTGGTGGTCTCAGCATCTCTGCAGCTTCCCCTGTAGGAAGCACAGTGAGAGGTACCATTTATATCAGAGTACATATCTATTTGTGCTTCAACACATGGGGCCCAATGCAAAGGTCACTGGAGGCAAGGGGAGATATTTGCTTGATTCAGGTGGGCTAAGGATCCATCTCCTGGCTCTGTGGAGGCTTAGATCTAGCTTAGATCTTGCATGGTTCTGCATTGGGGTAGAGGAACACCCTTATGGCAGCTTCTGGGCTTCTTCCAGGGACTTTCGTCCAGGACTGTGACTACCCACCAGCACTGGCTGCAGTGATGTGTTTGTATAACTGTAATTGCAATAGATTTTGCCTTTTTTTTTTTTAAAGGAATGGGAAGAAGAAGAGTCTGGAAAGAAAGGAGGAGACTCAGATTCTTGAGTCTGCCCTCTGTGAACAGGGCTATTGTTGAACCCGTGTGTGTTCTTTAAAGCCATCACTCTTGACTTTTTTCCCTTTGTCAGACCAGTGGAAGAGGATGTCCAAAGTCTTGAGAAGTGCTGGCCATGACCTTGTGCCTGTCAAAGAAAACCTGATCGATACAATCTGGACAGATTGTCCTCAACGCCCCTGCAAGCCTCTCATCATACTTGACCTGAGTTACACAGGTGAGAAGCTTAACTCCCAGCAGACCTGGGTTGTTGCTACTGTCCTATCTCCCTTCTGCTTTTCTCTTATAAAGTAGTGAGAAAAACAGTACTGCAGCACAATATGATCCCCTATGAATAGGTCAAGAAGATGATTGAACCTCAGCTAACAACCCCTTTGTCCTCAAAACTCTAAATAACCATTTGCTGGAAGTTGGGTGATTTCAAAACAAACCATGGGTGTCTGGAGGGCAGCTTGTTTGAGATCGTTCCTATCACTTAATAGAACGGAGTGAGGAGCGGAAGCACAGTGTGTTTTGGGTCCCTTCACAATCCAGTGTGTTGGTCTGTGTTTAAGTGATCTTCCTCAGTAAATTTAGTAACTGTAGCTTTTCATACCATGTTTTGTAGGGGTCAGCTGGAGAGACAAAATTACAGCCCTCCGTTCAAAAATGGCTGAGAGGAAAGTCATGTGGTTTGTGGTAACGGCCTTGGATGAAGTAGCATGTAAGTCTTTGCATGTCCTTTCTCAGTTCTTCCTACAAAGAAATGTTCTTCCTGCCTTGGAAAGGAAGAACCATGCCAGGGTGAGAGGCACTTTTGACAGACAACTTGTTTGTGAGACATCAATTAACTTGTGTATCAAGTGCAGTGGTGATAACAGGTCATAAATAGTGTGCCTGTATTTCTGCACAGTGCCTTATTACACCAGTGCAGCTCCTGAGTACCTTTTTAGCCCAGGAAATGCAGCAAATCACCTTTGAAAAGCAGCCCAGGCAAAGGGAGAAGAAGGTTATGTGTAAAGCCTGAGGCAGTTTGATAGAAAAAAAAAGAACTGTGAGGTTTTCTGGCTGTAAAATATCCTGATGCTGCCTCACCCAGTGGAAAGATGGAGACTGTTTTCTGCTGTGAAGTCTGGGCTATAAACAAAGCAGTGCAACATGTGGCTTTGTATACATAAGGCAAGGGTGGGGTACACAGCATTCACAGTCATCTTCCTAATTGTTACAACTTCTTAAGCCAGTCTTTACCTCTCCTGTGTTCAGCAAATGCTTTGGTTAAAACAAGTAAGTCTGGGCTCAACTTGTGTTTCTTGATCATTTCAACCTAGGGTCTTACTGGAATCCCCTCTGTGTTTGGGGCCCCAGGATGGCTAGGTCTCCATACCCTGGCTCTCAGCCCAGTGTGTAGGAGGGGAGAATGGCCACAAAACAGTGATTTCCCCAGAACTGCTGTTTCTAGTGCTGTGTCCTTTGTGCAGAAATCACCAGTGCACAGACTGGTACAGTAGGAACACAGCACTGGCAGAGTGTCAGCGCTGCCAATGCCTGTGCCCCATGTCTGATCTGAAAAGGTAGAAATGCAGGTGGTGTGTTCCCAGCTCCAGCACTGCCACTGCCACATCTCTGGCGCTGGGTGAAGCTCTCCTGGATCTGGGACACTGAGCAAAGAGGTGTTGTGAAAGAAGTACTTTGGAGAGTGGTGAATATGACTCCTCCCTGGGGAGGCCTGCATGAGCAGAGATTGTGTGTCTCACCTTTTCAGGCGCACCTCCAATTAAATTAATGATAAATTGGTGCCCTGAAGTGGTTTCAGATTAAATGTCTCCAGGAAAGCCAATCTTGGTTATGAATCAAGAGTTTTAAGATGGACCAGAGAAGGTCATGAGAGAAGCTCATTCTCAGGTGCCTGGTTGATTTCTTATCCTACAGAGGGAAGGGGAGAAGTTGTCTTTAATTTTATCTAATTCAATTCACTCCAGACAAGTTCTGGGGACAGAAAGAAAGCCACAAAAGAGACTGTTGCCTCCTTACTGCATTGGGAGTCGGCTGAGCAAGGAAGGTTGTACCCATGCTGTAAAGAGTTCTTTGTGGCTCTTTCCTGCATTCAAGTGACCTACTCCTTCCCTGGAGAGAATTAAACTCTATTTTTACTTTCATGGCAGAATTTGCACAGTTCAATGAATACAGTGCTAGGTTGTGATTTAGGACATGTTGGTTCTTTTCCCACTGTCCTGCTGGCTGGCCTTTTTGGCTTGAGTAACTCATTTCAGCTAATTGGATACCCTGGAGTTTTTATTTGACCCTAAAATCAGGAGTTTGGAGATGCTGAACTTGTACTTCCCTTCTTGACTTTGTCTGGAGTTGTGGGGGATAAAATCTTTGTGAAAAATAGCTAAGACTATACAGTCTGAATCTGAGATATTGTGGGCACTCAAATGAGAGGCCTTTTTGGGGTATTTTATTCTTGCCTATTGTGTCTTGCTCTTCCCTCAAGTATCAAAAGAAGGACTGGAATGAAATGATAACTTGTAACTTTGAAGTTTTCTGGCTGTTAAAGAAGTGAGCTTTTATTGCATTGCACAGACCAGAAAGGGTCAGACGCTACTTTTTGTACACGTATCCCTGTCTTTTTTTGACTGTATCTGCTTTCTTCCAAGCCAGCCCTCCTTTAGAAGTTAAACACCAGTTTTCTTTCCCTATGAGTGTTTAAACTGCAGTTCTGGTGCCATCTCCTGGCAAAAATTTAGGATTGCCTGGAAAGCAGCAGGACGTGGGACAACTGGTTGGGAGCTGGACCCACGGCCTGCAGCCGTGACGTCTCACTGCTTGACTGTGTTTTGCTGAGATTATTTTTAGCTTTCTCTGATGTTGCAAAAGACAAACCAGGACTGTGATTCTTGGCATTCTTATTTTTCAGGGCTTTTCAACCTCCGAGGCTCTGATGTTGAGTACAATCCTGTATTTTTTGCATACGCCGTCATAGGAATGAACACAATCAGGTGCTTGTATACCCTTCTTCAGTTCCCCAAGATTCATTCTTCTGTGGGAGAGCTGTTCTGGCAAAGCACTTATCTTTTGAAATGCCTGTGCTGGAGTACCTTGGTGTCCTTTCTGAGCAGTTTTGTCCTCAATGTTAATTACTCTTCTGCCCTGATCAGAGCTAGAGAGGCAGTCAAGAGCTCTGCTGTGCTCCTCAGCACCTTGGCTGACATGCTGAGTGACCTTGGACATGATGGGTGACCCCTCTGTCTGTTACCCTGAGATAATGTGGAGGGCCCTTGGAGCTCTGGGTGAAATGTGAGTAAGAGCCAATGCTGGCCTGGACACTGGAAAACTTTTCACTACTGTCTAATTGCTGAGTCACTTCAAAACTGCAGGGACTGTGTAGGAAAGTTTCAGGGCTGGCTTATGACAGAGGGCTTCTTTCCTGTGACTGCCCCATATATTGAGCCTTAGCAAGCAAAAGTCTTTTAGAGGCATCTACAAGCTGCCACCTAGATCCATCTAAGGTGAAACCTGGCTGGATGAGTACAGGTTGTTGTGTGAAGGTTGAGTTGAACTTTTCAATTCAGTGAAAGTGAGAACAAAGTGATACTTAGAACAACACTAGCTTTTCTATTTCCAGATGTTGCACTTAAAAATTAGACTGGCTGTTATGTGCCTCTGTTACTCTCCTATTTCAAGCACAGTGGTAGGATGTAGCCATTTTGAATGTATCATACAAAAAAAATGCTATCAGCTCCTTTCCTCTCAGCAGGGTGGCACATCTTAATTTTGAAGCGGGATTTAAGCTGAGTGAAGGCCAGTGGTTAAAACAACATAGGACACAGTATAGCACATAATTCACAAACTCCTTTCTCCCTGAAATGTTGCCAGAAGGGTTTCTCATTCCTTCCTTAACTCCAGCCACTGTCAGATGTGGTCCCACTTATTTGTTCTATCTGATTTGTTTCTCAGGCTTTTCATTGATGGTGACCGGATGATGGACCCAGCTGTGAGGGAGCACTTACAGCTTGACTCCACCCTGGAGCCTGAGTTTAAAATCCAGGTGATGCCCTATGGATCTATCCTGTCAGAGCTGCAGGCTGTTGGTGCAGGCCTCTCACCCAAGGAGAAAGTGTGGCTCAGTGACAAAGCCAGCTATGCTCTTACTGAGGCCATTCCCAAGGTCAGTGGCTCTTGCAAGGGAAAATACTTTTCTCTGCTCATCCTGGTTAGGAATGGTGTGAATGAGGGCAACTGACCACAGTTTCCCCTCTGCAAAGCACAATGCAGGCTGGAGCTTGTGCTGAAGGGATCCAGCCCTGCTGAGGTATTGAGGGGTTGTTAATCCTGGAGTTGCTCTCACTGGAGCTGCCCTTCTAACTCGCTAAGCTGATTTAGCCAAAGAATTGTCAGCTTAAGAAAAAACAAGTACAGCGAGAGAGGGGAGGGAGAGAGGGAGCAGGGTGAACTCGGGTCATTCTGACCACAGGTGGAGCATCTGCCTTACATGGACTAGCAGTAAGAACTGGAAACTTCCAGAAATTGAAAGCTGAGCAGGACTTCTGGGAGGGTGTATTTGGCTTGATCTGAGTGCCTGAAGGTGGTTGCCCTTATTTAGTTCAGTAGCTTGAGGATATCAGGCTTGTACCAAAGGCAGGAGGGACAAGGTGACAGTCATTGCAGCAGGGAACCTTGTGAGGACACAGATAACCTGCAGGCATTGGTTGTCCACGGAGTGAGTGCATCTGCTGAGGGACAGTTGTAGCAGCAGAATAATTTCTGTACAGCCATACATGCTATATCTTGCTACCCTTGTACTTGAATGTCTGTCTAGGACTCCCACAGTCCACCTAATATTCCAGTAGCCCTGAAAGGAGATACCTGGGGAAGAATACAGCAGCAACTATGGAAAAATAAGCTGGTTTCCATGCATCTTGTGTACATCTCTTGTTTGCCAGAGATCACATTCTCTGGAATGCCATCCAGTTTACAGTGATATCCAGTAACTAACAGATACTGTGAATAAATATTGTTTTGTGAGTCTATGGAGGATTCACGATAAACTTTTGTTCTTTTAACTTCACCGTAGAAAACCCCTTGCTGTAGGTGTAGTCCATGATCTATTGCCAGCTTGGGTTAGTTGCTATAGATGATTTATGTAGAGCATCCCGTCTGACCTAGATTAAGGAATGTAATGAGTTGGAGTGACATTATTTACCCCGTGAGCTCTGGAAATTTTGGCTGATACTGAGTCATTACAGTGCTACATGCCCTCTGTATGCAATGGGGAGAGTCCCTGCCTCAGGGAGCTCTGTGCAATAGAAAGCAGAAGAGGAGGACTGAAATGTCTTGATTAAAAACCACTTAGAGAGTCACTGAAAGAGCCAAAGTTTTCGTAGTTCCTTTCTGGCTCTCCACCACTTCACACCAGCTGAGAACTGGCCTGCAGTGCTTTGAAGAACATTAGTGCTGTAAGTCCATCTACTGTCTGTCTCCATCAGAGCCAAATATTGACACTGGCAAAAATCCAGTCCATTATTAAACACAGATCTGCAAACCCTTTATAGATTTGCTTACAGCTGCATGTAAATATGCTTTTCACTGAAGATTAATGGAACTACCAGTATCTGTAAAAGGCAAGCCAATCCAAGACTCTGACCATTTATCCTGTCTTTGATAAAAAGACTTTCCTGACTTTTTTGTCAGGAAAGTGATTTCTTTTTTACTTTGTATTATGACAATTATGTCATTGTCTTGCTGTTTTTAAGACTTTGGAAATTGTGAGCATGTAGGATTTATGTGAATTTGGTCTTTGCTGAGGGTCTACCGTTCCTTTCCATGAATTTGAGTGATATCTATTTGTATGCTGATGCATTGAAAATAGGAAAAAAGCGTGTTGCTTGGGCTGTGCATCTGTAGTGCTCATCCCACCTCCTGATATATGATGGGTAGAGCAGAGAACTGTGGGGCAATAGGCTTGGTTCTTCTTCCTTCTTCTGATGCCAAGTGTGATGAGGCTTGGGCAAGTCACCTCAGCTGGTGTATTTCTGAAGACATGCTCAGAACCAGCCAAGCATTCCTGCTAATCTGAGGACAGCTGATGTTTGGGGAAGTGTGCAGTGGTAAGGGATCAGCTACTAGCTCTTAATGCAGGGTCACCCCATCCAGGCACGGGAAAGCTTTGTCTCAAACCACTGATATAAGCTCCTTTCAGAATGGGCAGCATGTAAAGCTCAACTTTGCAAAGGCCTTCCATTTTTCTTGAGGCCTTGATGGGTTTGTCAGAGCTGCTGATCATTAACAGTGGTGATGCCCAGTGCTGGAGGAGACAGAGCCTTGCGGGGCCAGCCAGATTCAACTCCAGTGCTTGATACCCGGGCTGGGCACCCTTTGCTCCCTGCCACTTGAGGTTGACAGTCAGGTAACAAGACAAGGTGACTTTTAGGTTTGTTTCCACTGCCCAAGTTCTACCGTAGTCTCTGGGATTTCTCACTGGCTGTCTCTGGGCCTTCAGTGTACATCAGCAACAGGAAACCTATGGCTCAGACATTTATTTATATATATGGTATTGAGGATATCCAGATCTTCCCCCTGCTCCCATTCATTTTACACAGACCAAAGCTAGAATAAGTGAGGAATGACCTAAACAGGCTTAGTGTAGCATTGATACTGTCTTGTGCTTGTTTGGTGGTGTAAGTAATGAAATAATATCCACCTTGATAGAATACTTTGGAATTATTGTCACGATAATCAGGGTTGTCTGGCAGTATGAACAGATTTGGCATTTATGAATGGAGAGGTGTAGTGGAAATGGGATAAAAACAAATTACTTGTGTATTCACTGGTTTAGAAGTACACAGTGAAGGTGTAGGGTGCTCAGTGTTACACAGCAGTTTACTAAGCTGTGCTCCTTCTGTACTACTGCATGTCTGAGTCCATTGACTTTATTTATGGAGATGGCTTGATGACTTCCAGAAGGTGCCTTTTTACATGTCTGAGTACCTCAAGAAGTCTGCCTCAGGGGTTTGAAACATAGCTCCTGCCCCCTTTGCCTGTTATCCTGGGGAAGTTGTGTCACAGGTTTTAATTTATCAAATGCCTAAAGTAAAATTTAACATACTTTGTTTTTCCTGCAACTGCTTCCATTTCTGATTTCAAAGCATAACATTTCTAATACCATTTGGAGAGAACTGTTCAAGCTTAGTGTAACCTGTCTGTGAGGAGATGTTGCCTTGTGAGATGTTAGCTCTGTACATATCTCAGTGAAGTTAGTACTGCACTAACTGCTCCCTAGTCAGGATTCAGCAATCCTGCTGTGACCATCTCTGCTTCCTGCTTTTCACATGTCCTGCACAATATTGCTAGGTTTGTCCTCATTACTGAGGAATGAGGACAGAAAACCTGGAAAGAGGACCCTTCCAGACTGGATTTCATAATGCACAGACAAGGCCCAGTGCTTAAGCATATAGCATTTTCTTTGCTTGTTGGTGTACTAATTCAACCTATGTCTTTGCCCACTAGGTTCCAAAGGGAACAGTAACAGAAATAATAGCTGCAGACAAAGCAGAGGAATTCCGCAGGTAAAAAGTAAATCCACTCTGAGGAAGTTTTCTGGGTGGAGTTTTTATCCTTTGTTTTTTATTCTTTAGAAATCCATCTCACTTGCAGGTATATTTTACCTGAGGACAAACCATTACTACAGGATTTCTTTGAAAACTTGAAAGAGTTGTGAAGAATTGGGTCTCTTGGGAGATACAAGTCCCAGCCCACTGGATCCTATCTGCTTTTCTTTTGAGATAGCAATGAGGAGTGCTGCAGGTTAGGACACTTAAATACAAGAGAGTTGCTTTCTTACCACAGAGGAATTGATGTAAAAGTTAGATTTCCTCCTCTTCTGATGGAGAAGGAACACCATCTGTATTGAGAGTTACTCCCGTGTGTAGATCAGCAGGTCCTCTAAATGCCTTTGAGTAAATAAGTAGCAAAGTAGAAAATGTTCAGCACATCTCTTCCCTGGGTAGTTTGGGTGGTGAATTTTCTATTTCTAAGGAAAGAGTAGAGATGGAAAGCAGGTTTCCACGTGGTTGGGAGAAGAGGGCTTCAAATTGTACAGTTCTTCTACCTAAATGTGCTGGCCCAGATGGCTTTCATGGCCAAGGGGAAGGCTGAGGTGATGTGAAATTGAGGATGGGGCACTCCAGGTGCCCCAAGTGCCTGGTGTGCTCCTCTCACTTATGCTGTAGTGATCACAATCTTTTCTTTCAGTCAACAGAAAGACTTTGTTGAATTGAGTTTTGCTACCATATCAAGCACAGGTCCAAATGGAGCCATCATTCACTACAAGTAAGAGAAACACAGAGTCTCCTTTAATCTTTCAGCAAACAGAGCTGGAATGAGTGTCTTGTTTCTTCATGGAGTCACAACAGAGTACTCCAGGGAGATGCTGTTTTCTTTATTCCACACTTACTAAATAATGATCTTTCCCTGCTGGCAACATGCATGTATTGTGATGCTGATCTGCTCAGGACCATAGAAAAGGGCTATTTTGGAGCTAGAAGTCTGGGAAGGACACGTATAAAGTGCAAACTGTTCTGAAATACATCTAGGAACAGATGTTGAGGGTTTTGCTGGAAGAAACAAAGCTATTCTCTGTACTGTAGTGCTATTTGCAGTATACAAATACTCCCCTCAGTATGATCCTTGGCTCAGCATGTGTGGGATTTCCATCAATGCCACAAAAAATCAGAGCCGACACATCCAAGCTTGCACTTAATATAGTTTCTGAACTGCAGATGTGGGCTGGACACCCTAAAACTGTGGAACAAAAAAACTTTGTGTTTAACTGAACAGGCCAGTTCCTGAGACCAACAGAACGCTGTCTGTGAACGAGATCTACCTCCTGGACTCAGGAGCACAATACAAGTAAGTGGGATGAATGGGTTTTCTGCTCCCAGTGACCCCCTGCAGGGTCAACTCACAGTTGCCTTGGCAAGCAAGGCAATGTATAGTTTTGAGCAGGACAGCAGATGAGGGCTGACAAGCCTTGCTGGGGTAAAGGACAAAATGTCAAGCTGCAGTTCCCGTCTGAGTCCCATTCCCATTGGGATGGGAGCTGTGCTTTAGCTGCTGGTGTGTTTTTCTGTGTGTTGCAGCTCTGCACACCTGGCACACTCGTGTTAGAATTGCTATAACAGGGAGCAGGCCTGACTGCCCTGGCTTAGCCTTGGACTGCCTACACAGCAGCCTGCACAGCTGGGTGAGGCACCTACCCTGCCAGGATCTGCCCTGGGGGCAGATTTGACTGATGTTAAAGTTAGAACAAGGTGAGGCAAAAGAGCAGGACAGCACTGTCCTTTCCAGAGGGACTCATCCCAGGGGCCACTTGGATCTTAAGTTTGCTTGTGGGAAGGCGTCATGGTTGAAGATTCACTCAGTGCTGTTTTGACAGTGCCATTCAGTGGCCTCAGTTCCTTTACTGTGGAACTCCATAGAAAACTGGCTCCACGGAAAATGAGAGAAGTGGTGTTTTTAGCCAATGTAAATAGATGAGAAGTGGCTTGTTCAGGAAGATACAGGACAAGCCTGGCTTCTCCTTTGAGATGAGCTTTGTCTTTAGAGCTATGCCTTTTTGTTATGTCAGTCAGGAAGAGCTTTGAAAAAGAACCATACAGACATCCTTTGATAAGATTTTTACAAGGAGATCTTTTTTCCTCCCCTCTGATGGCCTAATTAATGATTTCCTTAGTGCCACTATGAAAAGCAGCCCTTTGAATACAATATAATCTGGACATCAATGGCACTTACCATAGCATTGTGACAGGGATGCTTTGCTTGTCCCTGCTGAGAAGTTAAACCGTGAGCTCTTTGTGACCATGGCCTGTGTGTGCTGGGGAAGAGCCCAGGGACAGGAGTGAGCGTCTCAAAGAGAACTTGTTATTTCAAGAGCCATTGTGTTTTTGACAGCAGGCTCAAAATGCTGCTTGTAGAAGGAACTTTGAGCCAGTTTCTGACATCTCAGACTAACCCCTATCCAAATGCAGGATAGTTTGTAGAAATCTTAGCACAAGACATCCTAAGGATGAAAGGGATATTATACCCTCTTACACTTCCCTTTCCTGAGAGGGTAGCTGTCATTTGTGCGTAAGTGTATATTTTTAAGCAGTTGATGAATCATCTTCCATACAAATAGGCTAAATTTGGCCTGTTCTCAATGGACAGGTACTAGTTGCTGAACCTCAAATTAGCATCATTTTTATGAGCAGTTTACATCCTAATTTGCGAGAAGCTTCGGGATGCTTATGGTTGAAAGATAACAGTTTGAACTGTAAATCATTATTGCCGCATCTAGGGCATTGTGTTCAGGAATTTTTGAGATTAAGAACTGTTACATCATCAGGCTTGTGTAGCACAGAGCAGATGACTTTATGAGCTTGGTTGGTTTGCTGCAGTGTGACTGGATTTTCTGTGTATTCTCACTTTGATCTTTCTTTTTCCCGCATCCCTTTGCTTTCTGCATCTTTGTTTGCCTCTGAAGAGATGGTACAACAGATGTGACCAGGACAATGCATTTTGGCACACCATCAGCCTATGAAAAGGTAAGTTGGCATCTCAGTGTGCTTTGTGATCTGACCCTCATTATTAGAGATACTTAAATCAGTAATGTGCCCTCTTGCTATATTGTAGAAGTGCTTTATCAAGTATCATTTATTTACTAGTATGTGACAGCATTTGGATAAAGACTGAAAAGGAAACTGTCAGACTTTGGACTTTCAAAATATAAAAGTGATTTAAAGAATCGATACTTTTCTATCTTAAAATGCACAATTCTCATCTGCAAAATGACATGGCTCCTCTAAGAAATTATAAAATCAGCAGACTGAGGATGAACATTACTGGCTTGTCCAACATGGGAGTTAGGGGTATGATATTTAGTGCAAAGCTGCAGCTGGTGTGTACCATATAAAAAAATCAGTCTCAGACTTCCCTGAGAAGGTCTGTGTTGGAAATTCAGCAATATAATTTTGTTTATTTTAAATTGCTTCTTTAATTAAAACTAATTTCATCATTATAGTTCACTTAGTGACAAAAATATGCTGTAGGGTATGCTCAGGAAGTAAAAGTACAGTCATAAAGAAAATCAAGCATGTAGGTCAGGTGAATCCTGCTGCTAAACCTGCTGCCTGAGTTTATGACGCACTTCCATAATTACCGGAGAAGAATCTTCAGAGTAATTTAAACTTTCTGCTCATGGTTTGCTTTGGCATTACCAGCCACAGGAGAGCATGAGCAAGTTTTTCCAGATCCTCCACAATTTGCTACAAGATGCAGTCTTTCTTTCCATTCCTGGGGAATACAAAGTTTTGGCTTTCCCTGTTTACTTATGGCACGCATTTCTTTGACAGGAATGCTTCACCTATGTCCTGAAGGGACATATAGCTGTGAGTGCAGCCATCTTCCCAAATGGAACCAAAGGTGGGTTGGTGAGTTGGAGTGTTTTGACCACAGCAGTAACCTCTGAAGAACCATTAAGTTGTCTGAGAACAACATTATGATTGACAACATTATGTTTTAGGCAAATGTTGATGTAACTCTCTATTTCCATCACAACAGTTTGGATTCTAGATTACTGATGCCTTCTCTCTCATCATCAATCAGTGCTGGAAAGTCTGAGGGGGAAAGTCTGAAGGGTGTTTGAAGTGCTCTGGTTCTAGGGTGATAGTGACTTTGATCAGTCAGTGGCACTCTAGCCCATCTGTGGCCTTTTTGTGCTTGGAGGTTGTCTTTATTCTTTACTAATGGCCCTGTCAAAGCAAGGTCACTTTCCAGCTTCAAAAGGACTGTCTAATTCTCTTGCAGTTACTGTGAAATCTCTTGTATCTGTGGCAAAATGACACATAAAGGAGCTGTTTTGATTTTGTGCAGGAGAAGCTGTGACATACATTCACCTCTGGTGAATTTGTTGCAGAACTATTTTCTGCCTGGTCACACCTTGTACAAAACCACTTCATTTTAGAGTTTTCTTCAGTTTGCATTCTTGGGTAGGCAAGTTATAAAACCAGCTGCATAGGGGTACGAGAAACCCAAACTGAAACTGAAGAGTGGCTGTTTTTGGTATATGGGCTTGGTGTTCACATGCAGGTAACATAAATTCTGTCCCCTCTGGCCAAAGCAGTCTGAAATGGTTGGCCATCAGGCAAGAAGTTTGGCTGATTAGTTCACCAAATACAATTGGCAGGTCTCCTACTTTGAGTTTAATTAGTGCAGCTCCCTTTAAGAAATGTACTGAGTTCTCTGTGAGACACTTAACCACTAGATTCTTTCCTGAAAACACCAGTGGAGCAAGCAGCAATGTTTCTGTTACAGACTATCTTCTGAAAACCTCTGTAACAGGAGAGAGCAAGGCTCTTTAGCTGAGAAAGGGCTTGAATGTCAGACTTGCCAAACCCACCGTATAACTTCTAACCATTCAATGACTTAAATTTCTTTGGTTGGTTGCGGGGCTCTTTGAGGAGGTGATTGTAGGATTTTTGTTTGTTTGGTTTTTTTTGTTTGCTTGGTTTTTTGCATGTTTTCCAGGTTTGAGCCTTCAGTGTGATTATCAGCTTCATTGAGGGAGCCTCACTTGATTAAATTCTCTCTCTCTGTCTGTCTACAGGTCACCTTCTAGATTCCTTTGCCCGCTCTGCCTTGTGGGATTGTGGTTTGGATTACCTGCATGGGACAGGACATGGAGTTGGCTCTTTCCTAAATGTACATGAGGGCCCTTGTGGCATCAGCTACAAAACCTTTGCAGATGAGCCCTTGGAGGCTGGCATGATCGTGTCTGATGGTATTTAGCACTGGTGACTCTCTGGTTACTCGGGGGGGGGGGGTGACCAAGTTCATTAAGATGCAGAGGGAATAAATTTGATAGTGGTGTAAGGGAAAGGTCAGATCAAAAGTTCTGGTCCTGCCTTCTTGTTATTTTAATTGTCATTTAAGCTCTCTAGGTAAAAAGCTTCCTTTTAGCTCTTTAACCTTTCATGAAGCACCTTTACAGTCAGGTGCTGCAGTTCTGCTTCCTGCTCTGTACAGGGCAAACCTGTGCTCCTGACCAGCCTGGCTCTGGCATGCTGTGGAAGAACTGGCTGTGGTACAAGGTGGACACCAAGCTTTCAGGAGCTAATCCTGTCTTTGCTATGGGCTATTTGAGGCAGCTGTTAAATCTTTACATGCCTTATTCTTCCAGTAGTAAATTAACAGCCTGCTCAGAGATCTACCTTCCTTCAGGGGCGCAAAGGCCTCTCAGGGAGTCAGGGAAACACTCTCTATAAGAAGTGTTTTGCAGAAGGGGTTATTTACCCACCTGCCTCTCATAAAGACATCAGCATTTTCAGAGTTTCTGGTATTTGGAACACATGTATTCTGTGCTCTCTCTTGACTTGCAAGGAGACTCTCTGAAGCTCGAGGGCTGTCTGTCTTGTTTCTTCTCTCTTTGAGAACTTCTGCTGTCACCTTGCTCGGGGCTTCCGTGCAGGCTAAGTAGAGTCAGAAATTTGTTTGCCTCTGTGGTTTCTTGATGTCAAGATTGCTTAGTGACTTCAGTGGACTAAAGCCATAGAGGGGAAGTTTGGCCATAGGGAATAAGTATTTGTACAGTGCAGCCATGTGGCTTAGTTAATTACTGTCTGTTTCTGCAGAGCCTGGGTATTATGAAGATGGGTCCTTTGGGATCCGAATAGAAAATGTTGTCCTTGTGATCCCTGCTGAAACCAAGGTGAATGACCTACTCAAGATGCACCTTTCTCCACAACTTGCTGGTTGTAAAACTTAAAGTACTGGAACTTGAAGTGGGACCATGCTGCAGACAGTTGAATCCTACTCAAAATTCCTGGTCTCCAAAACTCCACATTGGTGAACACTGATTTTAAGTCTCCCTTGCTAATGGGGACACAGAAGACAGTTATAATTCTGCAGAGTTTCCGTATGTTGAAATGTGTGTGTGTGAGTTGGTTTAAAATGTTTTATATCTGGATATGAAAGATCAGAAGCATCTTATTCAGCCCATTGGAGTCATTGCTGTAGGGTTGGTTGATGTTCTTAAGGTGGGATTTTCCTCTCTGGTAGAGAGTCTTCAGTGGCATTCGAAACAAAAGTACAGACAGATTTTGACGCTATAGTTGCCCGCCTGGCTGGGTTATGCTTTTAGAAATGCCAAACTGAAAATGATCATATAATCATCAAGCTAAAGTCCTGTACAGCTGTGACCTGGCACATGGCCTTTAGAAAGGGACCACTGAAAGAAATAATTAAGGTTTATATTGAGATTTGTTGTTTGAGCTGGAAGAAAAATGCTACTGTAAGTTGCTACTCTCTCATCTGAATGTTTCCTGGGTGGTTCTGTAGTGATGACACAAACCAAGGAGCAAGTGTCATCTGGCTGGAGCTGTTTCTAAAACTGTACAATCCCTTTGTCTTTCTGCTGCAGTACAATTTCAAAAACAGAGGGAGCCTGACTTTTGAACCCTTAACCCTGGTTCCAATACAGACGAAAATGATTGATGTTAATTTGCTGACTCAAAAAGAGGTGAGTAAAACAGGTTTGCATTGCCACCTTTTCACTGGAACCACCTTGTTCTACAAGGGCCACTGGCCTCTGTTCCATTTCACAGATCTGGAGAGCAGTCCTGAGCACTGTGACTTATTTTTAAACTCTATCTATCTTTGAGTGGGAGGGTGGACTAAACAAGCTTTTCAGAGTTTTCAGAGGTCTGTCAAATCTAAATTATTCTATGATGAAGGCAGCAAGGATCCTGATTATTAGGTTGTTTTGGTAGTTCCTTTGATATGATATTTACCACTATCATCTCTTTTCCTACTCCTGCCTTAATTTGCTTCTCTCGGACTATCATGCTGTGTCCCCAGGGACTATGTGATGACTGTCCCATCATGTTGTCTGTGTCTGCTTGTGACCAGTCTCATTCAGCCACACCCCAGTTCAGTACCTGAGCAAATTTCTATGATACCTGCTCAGCAGCATTTATTTCCTGAATAGCTTCATACTCTAAAATTTCTGTTTAGGTCTGTCACTACCTTCTTGTTTCATCCTGGTTTTCTGCCATACTCTTCATTTTGCCTTGATGCATCGTCCTTTTCATAATTATAACCCTGTTTGCATTTCCATTTGCTGAAGGGAGCTGTGAAGGGTACCAAGATCTGCCCTAGGATTACCTGTTCAGATCAATAGGGCAGTTTGTCCCTCAGGAGTGCATTGTCCATTTACAATTTTGCAAAGCTTATTAAACTGTGCCGAGGTAGCTATTTGGACTTGCTGGAGGCAGTGATTTGCAGAGACTTTACTTGTTAGCTGAACTGAACCTTGGCTCCTCTGAAAACCGAGGACAAATTGCTTCAGTTCCTACCCTCGTCAAATTTGCAAGTCACTTCCATATAATAGAGGTCTGTCTCTTTGGGACAGGATTCCATCCCAGCCTAACAGTTCAGGCCCCAAGGGCACAGGGGCCTACAAATGTCTTTGTCTGCGCATAACTTGTAAGGACATGAAATCTTCTGTGTTTATGCTGAGTGTCGTACCCCTCCCTTTCTCTAGTGTAACTGGGTGAATGACTACCATCAGAAATGCAGGGAAGTAGTTGGAGCAGAACTGGAGAGGCAAGGCCGGCACGAAGCTCTTCGGTGGCTCATCCGGGAGACGGAGCCTCTCGTCAGAGTCCAGTAGCAGCACAGTTGTCTGCGGTGTGCAGAACACCAGGACCGCTCCGTGTCCCAATAATCTACATCTTCTTGGACCTTGGCACCGCTGGGAGGATGTTCTTCAATTAACCTTTGGAAATCAGGAAGGGATTTCATGTAGTGTTTCTCACCCTGCAACATGTGTGGGTAGTGTGGGGGTAAGGAGGGTTACTGTCTGAAAAATTTTTTTGGCGGGGAGAGTTTGAGCATAGAAAGCAAACAAAATAAATGAGCACATTGCCTTTGAAACAGGGGTCTTATTTCAATAATGGTTCTAAGAGGCAATACTGGAATATTTTATACTGTCTGGTTTTTCACTGTGAAAACTCGGTATTTTTGCATACTTGAGTTCCAGTTGCTAAGATGTTACACACACAGCAGGACTGATTACTGAATAAAAGATTCCAACCCGCTATTTGCTCCATCTGCCTTCTCTTGCAGTCAGTCACGTGTTGGATTTGACAGCCTGAAGAAGGGCAAGAACCCGATCGTTCCACCCTTACCTATGCATCCAGCTCAGACAGGGAAGAAATATATATATAGGACTGCCTTGTGCCAGGCTCTGGGCAGGTGTTATGGAGAGGCCTAGCAGGAGCAGTCAGTTCTGCTCCGTGACAGGTCCTGGAAGGATGTGGAGACACTCGGCAGAGGTTTGTGTGCACAGAGCACCCGGGCCAGTGCTTCTGTCTATTGTTACGGCTTACTGAGTGCTTATATAGCCCGTGGCAGGGCAGGATGCGTGGGCAGTATCATGGAATTGCAGCTCTTCCTGGACACAAAGAAATTATTAGTTAAAATAAATAAATATGCATACAATGGACAAAGGAAGAACTGCGACTTGGGTTCAGTCAGCCCGGCCGGTGCCGTGTAGTGCGCAGGGACACCTGGTGGTTAAGCGAGGTGATGCAAGCTGAACGCTTTCTGAAGTCATTCTTAACATTTACACCTTAAAACTCAAGTTCAATATTAGATGTAAAAAATCCAACTCAATCAGCAACTCAATTCCTGATATTTCAAAGAAATGTTCTGTGCAAATAGAAATGTTTGTGTACATAATTTTCTTCCCCTCTTCCCCCAGGAATTTCTGAGGAAATAATAATCTCTGCTAAACGGCATGAAATTAGTATTTCCCTTGAGTTCTGGAAGCTGAAAGCGGGATCATGTAGCCAAACAGAAAAGTACTGAGAAACAATACAAAAGTTCCTGGCTTCCTAATTGTATTATCCAAGGAGGTGATAAAATAAAAGTGCAATAAGTGCTTTAAAAGTTCATTTTCACACCCCAGCCTCTGCAGCTGGGTACAGGTATTTAAATATTCAAGTGGTTTCCCACCAGCTGGAAGCATTAGCTTTCAGCTCAGTTGTGCCTATGGAAACCCTGCTCACACATCAACCAGTCCAAAGTGTCTCATGAGTATGTGCTATTAATTAAAACACACTGGGGAAAATGTTTCTACAAAAGCTGCCTGTTGCCTCTGTGGGTTCTGGCTGTGCCACAGCATCAAAGGAAAACTGAAGGATTCTAAACAGGTTGTACTGTGACAAAGTGTGTCTTTCCCAGCAAAATGGATGTGTGTGCCTTGAGGCTGAATGGTCAGAGAGTTGTCAGCCAAACTCCGCAGCCTCTCCTGGCTGTGTGGGAACCCTCGGAGCTGGAAGGAAGGCAGCTGCTCTCCAGGGCAGTGGTGGGAGCTCAAGCTGAAGACTCTGCTGGTCGGTGCAGGCCTGTGGGGGGAACTGCACCATATGCTACCCCAGATGGTCCTGAGAATGCCATCCCAGGTGTCCTGGCAAAGAGCCAACCTGGGTAGGTCTCTCCTTAAACTTAAGGGCAGGTGTTTCCCACAGGAAGGTGGAAGAGGAGGATTTCTACCAAAAGGAGAAACTTTTGTCCTCGTGGTCCAAAGCCACTGTGGCTGGCTTAGACACTTAAGTGGGAAGGGGGGACACAACACCAAAAGCAATTTGCTGGGTTTGAATGGCCCTATTAGACCTTTTCCCTCTTTACAGTCAGACACCAACCTGGGACCATTCCCTCACACACCCCAGAAATTCATGGCTCATTGCCATCCCAAAATTTCCTCCAATGCACAGGGCCAGAGATGGGGCAATCCAGACTTGTCTTCTCCTCTGGGCACCAGCCCCAAGAGCTTGAGTAGATACCTCCCCCTCATTCGGTCCCCAGCTCATCCCTCTGTGCCACCTCGACCCTGTGGGCTTCTGGTGCAGGGAATGTGACCCCACTGTTTGGTCACAGATTGGAGATCTTTACCCCTTGCTCAGATTTGGCACCTCAGCAGAGGGAGATGAGAGGGTGTTTTGCAGGGCAGGGCTGGCTGACACACATTCCTATCTAAGGTGTTTCTCTCTCCCTATTCACTCCTTGAAAACACAACTGCATTTGATATCCTTTCCTGTCTTGAGTTTCAGGTTTCTGGTGGAAACTAAAATCTCTTTTTTTTTTTTCCTTATTCTAGGTTTTGATCTATTCCATCAGTGCCTGCTTTCCCTGGGTGGTCTCTCCGTTCCCCTCTCCTGGTGGAAGGAAAAAGTTAAGGAAAAGAGGAGCAAGGAAAAGATTGAATGGAAACCCAAGTTCGTGCCAAGTTTGAATTTTATTTTTATTTGAACCATCCCCAGAAATAACCACAAAATTATACTGTTCAAGTGAAGATTGTAATTTTATTTGATTAAAAAAACAAACCCACCATAGAGGCTTTTGTTGTTGTGGGAAAGAAGGAGGGAAGGATGGAAGGATGGAAGGAAGGAAGGAAGGAAGGAAGGAAGGAAGGAAGAAAGGAAAGGAAGGAAGGAAAGAGGGAAGGGCATTTTTAATAACAGCATACTTAATGGTCTATTTTCTAGCCATTCTGTTTTGCAGTACTTTTAATCTAGTGGGCATCTCACAGCTTTACATCATGCTGCAAAGGACAATTTCTGCTCCTTAGGCAGCCTCCTACAGGGGAGCTTGTGGGGTAAGCCTGTCCAGTCCTATCCCTTCACCAACCCAGGAACTTGGTGGGTAATTGTACCTCGCCACCACTGCCACCACCATCTGAGTCTGTTTCTACCCATGGGACAGGGCTTCAGCAAATGCAAACCATACTCAAGGTCCATGTGGACACCCCGATTTATGTCACCAGAGCACTTCCCTCTCTGTCACCTTCCCAGCTGTTTATAAATGCTTGTGATAGAAATCTCCAACTACACTGTAACTGTGTTTAGAGGTTCTGGAATTCTTCGTTTCCCTTTGAATAAAAATGTTACAGCAGGAGAGAGACCCTATTTTGCAGTGAAGGAAAAGCCACATCAGCTTTACCATTCCATTACGAATCATGATGCATGCATTGGCAATGTGCCTGTTGGTGTACAAGGCTTTTGAGGCAAATAGATCATTTCTCCTTGAGCAGAAGGATTCATATTCATTTGTCACCAGCAACAAGTGCTCCTTCCCTCCATAAGCCAGGTGACTGCTAGGCTTCTCCACAGTCACCCCTCCTTCCTCAGTCTGTGGGTATTACCTTAGGTGTGCCTAGTAGCAGTAAAATTCAGTTGTTTTTTAACTTAGATGGCTCATAACTCACCTATAATGAAACCCCCACCATTGTTTCAGTGAAGCTTTCAGAGTAAGTTTTGATTTGCCCCAGCCCAGCCTTAGAAAGAAAAAGAAAACTTCTGAGAACACCATCACTGAGGGTCTCCTCAGCAAACCCACCAAACCAGCCTGACGTTCAGGCTGCACACAGTGCTTTAGAGTCCCAGCAATGATGAAGGGCTGGGGTGTGCCATGGGGCACTGGTGCTTATTGCTGTGTTTCCTTCAGCAGATAGTGACAGTGAGAGCCAGATGGTTGGAGCAGTCAAATATTAAAGCTCTCCTGGGGATCGAGAGATACCATCCTTTTTCCTTTGCCACTTCCCTTCCTGAGGGGTCTCCTCTGGTAGTAGGAACAAGGTTCCTTGGTCATTCAGGCAACTGTCAAAAACATCTGCTTGTGGTCTGGATGCCTGGAGAGGACCTGTCTTTTCCCAGCGCCATCTCCTTGCACTCAGTGGGGGTGATTTGGCTGCTGGTGCTAAGGATTATTGACATTTATTTTTGTTGAACTTGTAGCAATTCACACCTTGTTCTTGGAATCCTGTGGCTTCTTTTTGGAAAGGAAATTGCAGGCCTGGACATCTGGCAATGGTATCTGGAGATCGGGAGTTAAATAACTTGCATGGTGTCACTGCCCTTAGCTTGTTTTACATGATTAGGATAAAACTCCCCATGGCTTTGGATGTAATAAGAAAAAAAAATGAAACAAGAGCCTCTGGAGGGTAGAAATATGAACTGTGTTAGTGCTTAATTAAGTTGCCTATTAACAGTTGTGTAGTGGCCTGGAAGAATTTTAATGTACCAATTAAAGCAAGGAGCTATCTCCTCAGCTTTCCACCACCTCTGGGGACGCTGTCAAGAATGAGGAGCTTGCAGATCAAGTGTTGTTTATTTTGCTGCTTCCAGCTTGTTAAAAATTGTTCTAAATTTGGGATGTGGCAGATGCCCACAGATGTGTTTGCTTCCGCGAGGCAGTGGAGCGATGTCTGTCTGATGAAGATTAACATGGGAAAGAAACAGGGCTGTAATGCTGTCTGACCCCATAAAACCCCTCCTGTTTCTTACAGTTCCTCTGTGTTGCTGCAGGAGGAGGAGGGGGCTGGAGGCCTCGGGGCAGCTCCACGCTGACAGTAGGGTGCATTGGTTTGGCACATAAAGCCTGGACAGCTGGTGTGAGCTCACAGCGGTTTTTTGGAAGGGATGTGCCAAGTTATCCTGCCTGTTCTCTGGCTGTCCCATCACCGTGTCGCACCACCTTTCAGCAGTTTCCCCCTGCTCCATCATAAGCTGTAGGGATGGGAGGTTCCCCTCCAAATGGGCCTTGTGCAAGGTGGTCAGAGAACATGGCTGCTCTGATGCCTAAGATCCTTCTGCTTTACAGCCAGAAGGTACTTAAGGCTATTTTAGTGCCAGCAGCCTAAGACATATCAACAAACAGAGAGAAACACTTTTTTTTCAATTATTTTATTTAAATTGCTAACATTTTACTGGCCTGAGGGCTGGTGAAGGTTGCAGGGAAGTTGGTTTGTTGGGGCTGCCCACTGCCATGCTCCTGGAAGCATGGGCTCCTGGAGCACAGTGTTGCCCTGCTCCCAGGATGCACTGTCTGCAAAGCAATCTCCATGCTCAGATGGCATTTGAATTAAAAAAAAAATCTAATTCCATCCATTATTCATGTACCTGCCGATTGCTCGCTCTGGCTTCTGGTGTTGGGGCAGTGTTTTTTGGATGGCCTCTTGTGTGTGTGCTTGGCTATGAGCCCCTTCTTGCAGCAATCAGAGCCTGTGATTTCCCTGCACAAAGCTGCATAGGACTGATCCTGCTTAAA